AAATTTTATATTTATTTAAATGACAAACATTTTTACTACTTTTTCAAACTACCATTTCAAAATACATAAAGAAATCATAACTGAAAAAAATAAATTGCAATAATTAAAGTTTAATTTATATATCTATCCAAGTACTTCTACACTTGCTGGTAATTCATCACTAACATTCAATATCTTTACTCTTTCCATCTCCATCCCAAAGTGCCTTATTGGTTAAGCCTGTAACTCCTTCCCCTGAAGGCAACACCAGAGGTGGACGCAGTAGTACTCGTCGACCTGCTTCCAGGTCCAGTACTGTATGAGTGAGCTTGAGCTTGTTGTCTCCCCGTAGCCCAACGTGCCACTAATCTGTGCCTGTTAGAAGGTTTGGGCTAAGGAACTCAATTTGTGTTGTATGCATTCACATACATACCACACAATTCTTGCATATTTACATATCTGGCACCTAAACTTTCATATTCATAGGAATTGGCTGGTATGAATGTAAAGGCCCCTTTTCAGTTTCTATCATTGTATTGACAGCTAAATACATGCACCCAAAAACTGGAGCAATTTTTTGTGTGACAAGGTGGGAATAAGAGAATGATAAGATATGGTAGGAAAAGAATTACATGCAAACGTAAAGCCTCCAGAAGGTGTATCATATCAATTTTTTAGGTTTAGAATACATACAAGGAAGATTTACATTACATATTACTCAATTCTTATGCATTTACATATCAAACCCCTAAATTTCAATTTTTAGACATATGCCACGTTAGCTGTGCATGAAAAGGTGTATTTCACTTTTTAGAACTAGAAATAGTGGTATTTTTTATGTGATATGCTTTTGGGCGGTATAAATGTAAAAAAACAAAGTATATATCACAATCAAAGGCGTATATGGGAGAACAAGGATACAGCCACATTGGTGTCTTCAGAATGTTTTTTCCTCCCGCAAGTGGATGTAAAACGGTCAAAAAATAGTATAAATGCCCAGCAATGATTCCCATCAGATCAGGCAGAGGAGAAGCACCAAACAATACATCTAGTGCAAGCATAGCCCATGGTAGATAAAATGCCTAAAATTAAAAATATTTATGTTGAGGAGATGAGTAGAGCTAGAAAGAATAATGAAAATGCAAAAAATTTTACAATTTGGACCTTGAACAAATCATTATAAAGAGTACCTTCAATGTGACGAGGCCGTATATGTTGACTTGAGCGTTAGGGAACTCTCTGCTCCAAATATAAAGAAGCATGAAGACCATCGGAATGCCTAAGAATGGAGACGAAAACCATGGAACAGCTGATAATGCCTGAAGGCATCGAAGCCAAGAGAAGATCAACAGTAATGAAGCAGCTGATCTAATGGAGTAATAAGCTCGGAAATTGTTGAAATATTTCCACTTACAAGTAAAGAGAATGCGCCAAATATCATCATCCATAGAAAATCGGCAGTACGTTTGTCGAATGGACCATTTTCGAGTTGCACCCCATATCTTGCGCTGCATAGAAACGTAATTTTCTTTTAAGTTTGTGCCATATTGAACGGTATGGCCTATCTAGATGTCTGAAAAAGTGTTTTGAAGACATATTTATACATCATGAGAAGACGAATTCCAAAATTGATGGAAAATTTTCCCAGGAAGAAGAAGTTTGTTATCAGCCTCCAAACC